AGCATCGGGAGAAATCCATCACATTCTCATTTTTTTTCTTACAAAATGCCTTTAAAAGCTATTGGTGCAGCGTGAAGGAGCATCCCAACCATGATAAGCCGAGGATGGGTTGTGCGGCGTTATCTTTCCACGCTGATGAAGCAATGACCCCGCGGGGCTTACAGCCTGTGCATCCAAAGGGATGCATTAATGGGGACAGACCGCCAATTTATTTATTGATTTTTATTTTTTAATCAATTTTGCTGTGTTCAAGACACGGCTAGGAGTCGCTTCGCGAGAGTATTAGTTATTTTTAGGGAAATGTTAATGCTGGGTCTCGGGGGTTAAAAATGGGTTTTAAAGAGCAGCACAGCCTATAAATGGGGGGGGGGGGGGGTGTCGTGAAGCACTCGTATAGTCTGGGAAATGGCAGGCTTGGATGCAGGCAGCAGTAAAGGGGTAGTTGTCACCCAACCCTCGAATTCAAATGTAAGCTTAAAAAAAAAAAAAAAGAGGAATAGGGGGGGAAAAAAAAAAAAAGAGAGAAAAGCTCCGTGAACCTGTCTTTATGATGTTTATCTAGTCTGGAAAGGTACAACGGAGCGGAGGCAAATTATTTCTCTCTTGGACAAAGTTGAAAAAGTGTATTTTAATTTAGACGCTAATTCTAGTCAACATTCAAAAGGGTTTTAATTTGGCTTCCTCAGCTTCTGCACTGAACGCCCGTTTGTGGCAGTGTTCATTTTGGAGACATTTGGGGAATAAGAAAGTCCTGTTCCCTAAAAATTGGGGTGGGTTTTTTTTTTTTTCCTGAGCTGTATTTCCACACGTGCTGTGCAGGTGGGTGAAGGCTGGTGCAGGATCTCCTGTGCTTGTGTGTGTTTGTGTCTGCCCTCTCAGTGCCTCTCTCGGTGGCCAGGACCTTTCTCATCTGGATGTCGTCTTCTCTCGGTAGCGGTAGAATTTGTTTATTCATCCTACATACGCAGAAGGAAAAGGTTATAGCTCATTATTTCCTTTGCAATGACATTTTTAATAGCCCACGTTGATAGATATCTTATTGACTCACAAGCCCTCCATCTTCTTTTTATTGTGTTGTCCTCTCCTGGGGTTTCTGAAGTGGTAGGTCAACTTTGACTCACCAGTATGACTGAGTAATGCCCTTGCTTTGATACAATCGCTCGCCTCTCCCCAAAAAGCCATTTTTTCTTTCTACCAAACACAAGGATACTGAAGTCCAAAGCGTTTCCTTCCATCTGAGCAATTCATACTCCGAAGGGGGCAATGGCTCATTGCGAGATGCTCGGCGGTGGAGACATCCCCCATGGGAAACGCAACCCTCCTCCGCTCTCTTGATGGGACGGGTGATGTCATTGACCGTTTGAGCCACCCATCCTGAGGAAATATGGCTTATTCCAGCTTGGTTTTCTCACTTTATGATATTTAAACAGGAGACAATAATTTTAAAAAAAAAAATAAATGCTGGGGGTGGGAGGAGGGAAATGACATCTTTGCATCTGGTCTTGTGCGGTCTTGGAAAGCGGGGTGGGATGCTGAATGTGGGAGCGTGGGGGACAGGAGGAGCTTGAGAGCTGGCATGGTCTTGACTTCTCTGTTTTATTTCCCTCCCTGCTTCAGGTGGATGAAATTTATCATGACGAGTCGCTGGGCATTCACATCAACATCGTGCTGGTCAGGATGATCATGGTGGGGTACCGCCAGGTAAATACAGCGCTCGGATGTGGCGAGGGGGTGATGATGCTATGCGGGCTGGCCACAGCTTTTCGGCTGCTTTTGTTGCTGAAATGCAACGTAGGCACAGCAGGCAGCTGCCGCTTCTCCCATGGCCGTGCAGCGACACCACAGCTTAGTGTCTCGTCACCGTAATATTTAGCACTTAGATAAGCGCCGGCTTGGAAAAATGTGGCTGTTCAGGTCAGCTGTCAAAGCCCAAGTGACAACTGTATTCACCTTGAACCCTCATCTAGCTGGTTTCTGGAGCCCGAAGGTCTGGAGAGTCCCAGAGCCATCCAGCCCCGGGGCAAAGGGGGGGTCCTTGGGCAGACGGTGGATGGCTGTCATCAACCTTTATCTGCTCGCTCTGGGGTGTGGGAAGAACCATGACAGGCTTCTTCAGAAGCTCTAGGGGTGGCGGTAGATGACGGGACAAAGGTGGCTTCCCAAATGGGCAGGAGCTGGATATTAGTGAGGAGAAGCTGAGGCCGAGATCTCCCGTATCACAGCCTTGACTTGGCAGCCCCAGAGGGCTTCCCTGGCTGTCCCGCAGCTCTCGGGTGGCTTGGGCAGGGCAGAAAAAGGTTTCATGGGGTGTCTCAGGTTGCATTTATTTTTTAAGGCTGATTTGAGCTCGGCAGCCAGAAGATTTTCTTTAAAACAATGTGATTTGCTATACTTCTTGCGGCAAGCCCTTCTGCTACGTGAAGCGTCCTAGGAAGGATATTAATGAGTCAACACGGTGGTGTCTGTGTGTGTGGTCCACAAATAAGCCCCGTTAGGTCTTGGGGGGAAAAAAACCCCGAAATCTGCTTGGCCGGCAGAAACCCAGTTCCTCCTAGAGACAGAGGGATGAGCAGATGTTTGAATCCAGGCAAAATCTCAGCTCACCACAGTTTAGGTCTGATGCTTCCTGAGCGAGGAGTCCTGCGGCTTCTCATCTCCTGCCTTGCACTTTGTAGGATAAAACCTCCATGGCTTCCACTTAAGGGCCAAGGGAAGAGCAATATTTCTTACCTTTTTTCCAACCGCTGCGGCTCAGCGGGTACCTGCCTGAGACCATAATTTGTTTTACAGAGCATAATTCATTTTATAGAGTATAATTTATAGAGCATAACTTACAGAGCATAATTTTGCCAAATGCTAATCTTGAACAAAACAAACCAACCAAACAAACAAAAGCTTAAGGACAAGGTGACTGCTATAAAACAGTCCTTGACAATTCCACCTACTTTCTACTAGGGTCTCGGTCTCTGTGGGTCAAGTTTTACAGGGGAGCATTGCTCTGCTCATTGCTGAGCATCAGCATCTCGTGACATCTTGACGAGCAGCCCGTGCAGGAGCTGAGAACCCGAATCCTCTTTGCTTCTCAGCCTCTCTCCTTTTTTTTTTTATCTACCGCTGCCCCGAGCACCTGTGTGACCAAAGAGGGTCACATACCGTCCTCTACCAGACCACATCCATTTGTGGGAATGGTTTCTTTGCTTTTTTAAAATAAAAAAAGGCGCAAGATGCTTTGCAGATGCGAAGCAGGATGTTGATACTTCTAATGATGGAGAAGCAGGGCTTAGGAGTCTTTCTGACCCCAAAAACTCTTGGCAGGCTCCTTTTCCCCGACTACCTTAACAGTCTTTTTATTTTTTTTTTCTTTTTTCTTTGTGGTTTTTTTTTTTTCTTCTTTTTTTTCCAATTCTTTACCCAGTCAGTCAGCCTGATAGAGCGAGGGAACCCATCTCGGAGCTTGGAGCAGGTCTGCCGCTGGGCTCACTCGCAGCAGCGCTCTGACCCGGAGCACGCCGAGTACCACGACCACGCTGTATTCCTCACCAGGCAAGATTTTGGTCCCGCAGGTATGCAAGGTACTGTATTTATCTCGATCAGGTATGTGCAGTTTGCTGGGGGAAAGCCAGCGAGGGGAGAGGATTTCTTGCAAACACAGTCTGTTTCTTAGCCAGTAAGGTCCAGGAAAAGGTTATAAAAATTGGTATTTTTTTTTATATGAAGTAGAAGAAAGACAGAATTAATCCAGATCATCAACCTGAATGGATAAAGAAATCGTCTTTATTCATTCTGCCTTTACTTTGGTTTCATGTACCAATCTTCCCCTTGTCCCAAAGTGCCCCAAACAGTTTTAAAAAAAGAAACAAACACAAAAAAGATGGAATACCAGAGGGATTTTCGTGGGTCAGTCAGTCCTTTCTGTCCTCTGGAGGACCTTTAAAACCTGTTTTTACATGGGTTGGTTTCTTGGCCCTCTTAGGACTGGACATGGGAGCATTGAATAAACCCTGGGCCAAGGAGGAGGTTGGAAGGAGCGATGACAATAGTCTTCTCAGCCTCTTGGTGCAGAGGCTGTGCCGATGTGGTCTGAGCAGTTAGAGATCTAGGTAAAAAAAAAAATTTAAAAAAATTGGAGGAAAAGCTTCTAACATGTCACGAATGCTTTGGTGGCATCATGAGAAGTGACTTCTCCCAGTTCTCCTGAGCCCACTGCCTCCAAATTGCCACCTCCTCCTTCCCACACTGGTGGCAAGGTCTGAATTTCCCATCAGGAGGCTCCCTTTGATGACACGAACGTTCTGGCGATGTCACACTGATTTGTAGCACGAGTCCTTCTGGTGTGCATGGGAAGAAGGAGAGACGGAGGAGTCCTGTCCTCGCCTCAGTTACCTCCCTGGAAAGGTTCTCCCCGCAGCAGGGGATGAACCACAGGAGACGTTCAGCTGGAAGCCCTCTTGAACGTGCTGTTGGCCATCAAAGAGCAGAGCTTGGGTTGTCCCAACAACCTCCTCGCTGAGCTGTTGACCTGCCTTGGGAACCTCGTCTGGAGTCACGGCAGCAGCGTGGGTGAAATACCAGCTTTTGTTTCATTTTTCTAGACCCTTCCTGGCAAAGCGACTGTGTCCAAAAGCGTTGCTGAGGACCTTTTTTGGCATGTTGGCAGAAGGGGGAGACTGGCTGAACTTCCCCTTGGTGGGAAGGAGTTGTGAGACGGATGGAGTAGCCCTGCTGTAGGGATGCTCGTTCCAGCTCCTTCCCCTTTTCCCTGTGGATCTGGATCGCTGCTTTTCACACGTCTCTGGGCCGGGTGTTTGCTTTCTGCACAAGTCCCCATGGCTGCCGTGTCCTTGCCTGGCTGCGTTGCATGGCACAAGGTGCGGGTGCTCCTCACCCATCGGGTACCGCCCTCTTGTTGGGCTGCTGGAATAGTAACACTTGGCTTACTTTTGCGTCTTTTCCTCAAAACGATGTCCTCCTCACTCCATATCATCCCTTTTCAGCTCAGGGCTATATGCAATGGAAGGACCAGACCGCGGCACCTTCAATTCTTGCTCATGGCGTATGTTTGCTGGTGGTATCTGAGCGGCTTGCAGAGGTGATGGCAAATACCTACTGGCTTCTTTAGCCACTGCTGTAGAGTGTATGTGCCAGTTGGAAAGCATCTGCTCTGCTCATATGTACCCTGAAGCTGAGCTGAAGGCAGAGGTGGTCCTGCCCCAAAAGTCCTACAGCCTAAATCAACAAGTTGGGAGAAAGGAAGCCTTTGAGGATGGAGTCCTCTGAGTCACAGGGACCTGGGAATAGAGCCTAAATGTCAAGCCTGTGCTTAGCTTAATGCCTCATCACTCCTTACAGTTGTGTGCCCAATTAGCAATGGAGATGGTGCTGAACCTGTCTCACTAACCGGTGTGGTCCTTTTAGCCCAGACAATTTCCATGCTGGCAAGCCAGCCATGCTCCATCTCCACATCCCCACCATAGAATCACAGAATGGTCAGGGTTGGAAGGCACCTCTGGAGATCATCTAGTCCAACCCCCAGACACGGCTCGTACCTCTCTCTGTGGTGTGTCACCTCCCCTTGGCCAGTAAACCAGACCAGCGTCTGGTCTAGCGTGGTGCTGGTTAAGCTGGATGCAAGTCCTTGCAAAGCGTTGCAGTCTTGGTTCTTCTCTGTTGCAGGTCCAAGCCAAGCCCTAAGGAGGTTTACAAAAACTTCTCGGTGCTGGCAACAGCCCTGCTCGTGGCATCTCTTGATGGGATGGGAGCAGTCGTGGCTGACGCGGAGTAATTTTGGAAAGCTGATGCAATCGTTGCTTTGGGAATGGAGGGAAGCTGGAAGGCATGGAGGGAAGGGCCAGGAGCGACAGCTGAGCTGCGCTGCCCTCGCGTGTGGGCTGCAAATAAACCTCTGCCCTCCAAAGAGAAATGCCTCTCGGCGGTGGACAGATGGGTTGTAAATTATTAATTGCTGCTGCTGAGGCCCTGTGTAGAGCAGAAGAGTGCCTTGTCCCTCCACAGCAGGTGGGCATGGAGGGCTTTCTGGCCCAGGCTGGAGGATGCTTTTGCCTTAGATTTAATTTGTTGCCCTGTAATTACCCACGGTTGGCCTTTGAGCAGGCTGGTGGTTCATGTAGAAGGTCAGAGGGGCTGAAAGCAAGTAGGAGATGTCGATAAAGAAGTCTAAAGTGCATTTGGAGGAAGTGAGAGACTGGCTGGTGTCTTGCTGGTACGGTGAGGACATGCCGCTTCTCCTATGTGCGTGTCTGGTAAGGCTGATCTAGTCTTTACCAATGAAGTATTTTCCTAGTAGTCACTTCTTGCCATCGTTCTCTGTGGAGAACCCTTTACTTCTTCCAGTTCTCACTGGGGTCTTAATTATGAGACCAGTGTCTGCCTTCCTGAACATCCACCTTTTCATGTTTCTGTGTCCCATCTCCCATCCAGACATACAGAGCCTCTTTGGTTAGGAATTTGGGCCATTTTCATCCTAGACAAAATATATTTGCTCTCCCCTTGTCCAGAAAACTTTCCAGATATTTGCTTTCTTGTGGAAAGTTTCATGGCTGGGCGGGGGGGGAAGTCTTTTGAAGTGATTTATCCAGGATTAGACTCATTACTGTATGGTTAAACCCAATTATTAAACCCAGTTAGGCCCCATCCCTGGAGGTGTTCAAGGCCAGGCTGGACGTGGCCTTGGGCAACCTGGGCTGGTGGGAGGTGTCCCTGCCCATAGCAGGGGGGTTGGAACTCGATGATCTTCAAGGTCCTTTCCAACCTAAACCATTCTATGATTCTATGATTACCTGGTTCCATCTCTCAAACTCTTAGTTTGGCCTTTGTTACCTTTTGCTTTCCTCTTGACTACAGTGCCCACTGAGCACGTCGTTTCTCCGCTCTCTTTCTTAAGGTGTTTTAGTTTATTTGTTCATTGGAGTAAGTCTCGTTGCCCACTTGAACGCGGGGAAGATGAAAAACAAACGCTTCCTCCAGTAAATAAAACCCGGGGTGTATTTATTTAAGCTGCTTTGATTTATTGAAGCTGCTTTGAGAAGATCTTTGTCATTGCAGAGGTTTCTCTGAGGTTTCGTGGTGCTTCGCAGGCAGAAGTGAACTCGCTTTGCCTGTAATGAGAATCGGGTATTTATTTAATCTTGGGCTTTTTGCTCAGCCACTTGGGTTCACCTGACCTCCTTCGCTTGGAGCACAGGCAAAAATGCATCCATCGCTTCCCACAAAATAGCGTGTGGGTGAGCCCTTCGAAGGTTCATGTCTGGGCTTGTTTTGAAAAATTAAATTGTTGTGATGGGAGAAGTTTCCTTTATAAGTTCCAGTGCAGGTGGACACCCTGGAAAATCTCCGCTCAGCTGATAAATAGAAATGTTGAGGGAAATGCTCACCCCAAACCCCCTTGGTTTTGTGCTATGCCTGGGGTGATGGTGACTTCTAGCTGTCTAGCGGTGCAGCAGCAACCTGTCGCTTGTCCCATCAGGCATTTGATCTGCTCAGTGCGCCCACAAAGTCAACTACTGTTGACTTTAGGGCAGAGCTGTAGGAAACCTTTTATTTTTCGCTTTAATCTCTTGTCCGTGGCCAGCTGCGTGGTGCCGGGACCCACCCGCTCGTTCAGTTCAGGAATTACGCTGAGTGCCATCACATCCTTTCCTCTCCACCCTCTTCCAGGGCAATTAGTCACGAATCTGCTGGTGCGGAGCAAGTGGCCCACGAGGATGGTGATGTTTGGGCTCTGTGGATGCCATGTTTTGGCCAGGGTGTGTGCAGGAGGGCAGGCGTAGGGGTGTGAATCCACCTTCAGCTCATCAGCATCCCTCTCCTGCTGCAGCTCAGCCTCCCTCTTGGCTCACTGGGCTTTCCTCTTGGAGCATCCCTATCCCCAGGGCAGAGTTATCCAGCATGGTCCTGCCCTGCTTTTGCCTCTCGGACCTGTAAGTGCTTCCTTCACTAACTTCCTTTCCCTTGATGCCAAAAAGGGTCAGTCTTAAAAAAAAATAATAAATATATATATATATTTGAAAAAAAAATGGAGAGTAAATTCTAGAAGAATTGCTGAATGGATGGGGGGAAGGCTTCCCTGCCCACAGCTGCCCCACTGCACTGCACTTGATCGAGGGCTGGGGGCTGGGGAGGTGCATGGTCCTCCCCGGCTCTGTCTGGCAGGGGGGTGGCCCCCCTTTGCCCCGGGCTGGCGCGGGTGCATGTGCGGGTGCATCGCCGGGGCGTCCCCCGTAGCCTGTGGTGAGCAAGGCTGTATTTTTGGCTCTGGGGGGCACCTCACGCCTTTTGTTCTTCTCTCTTCCTTTCTTCTTTATTGTTGTTTGGTTGTTTTTTTTTTAATGAAGAAGAACACAGGGGATGCTGCTTCTGGGCTGGGAGGAGGTGGTCACCACTAAAGCACCCGTGGGTCCCTTGGCTGCCCTCTCGCCAGCCAAGGTGCCTTGGCACGAGGGCAGAGAGATGCCGGCGAGCCTCAGCGTAAACCTCAGCCTGGTTTTGGTAGCCAGGATGGTCGTGCTGGTGACCAAGTCCTTGGGTTGCCATCCAAGGGACCTGGGCAGCTCCTCCTCCTCAGCACCTTCCTCTTCGTTTTCTCCTCCTGTTGCAGGGAAGCCTCGCGCGGGGCCGGGCCCCCCTCTTAATTTTGCCTGCGCTTGCCTTGTGCCAGACCTCTGCTAGGAGGAGGACCCAGGAGAAGGGCAGGAGGCTTCACAGCTCCTTGTCCGTCCCACGGCTGTGAGCGATGTGTGGATGCTGGTGGGCATCACCAGCGAGACAGGAGTTTTTGAAGGCGACTGGCTCTGCCTCTGGCTGGCCAGGCTGCAGTTTTGGGTTTTTTTTTTTGTTTTTTTTTTTTTAATTTTTCATTCCCC